CTCGGACACAGCAGGCCCCAACTGTTCTTCGTCCAGCTCTTGGACAACACTGTCCAAAATTGCGCCAAACTCTTTTTCATTGTCATTGCCCGAGTCTTCCCCCTGGGGCTGGGACTCGCCAAGCAACACAGCTACGTCGTCGTTCTGTTCATCCTCGAGCCTTGCCCGTTTAGGGCTGGTTGTTTGGTCACCGTCAGCCGAGGCCGCCGAGGAAGACCTTGATTTTTGGCGGGGGCGCTTGCCTCGTGATTTTTGTTGCATCAGATCTGTCAACAATTCGCCAAGCGAAGAAAAACCATCTTTAATGTTGCCCGATAGCTCCTCGAACTTCTCCTCCATATTGGATTGACTCTCGTGCCGATCGCCAGAAGAACTTTCTTGTGCATGTGTGGCCTCATCGCTTTCGAGCAATCGTGCATCATCTTCGATTTCCCCCTCGGAGTCGGCCATGTTGAGTCTGTGGACGATTCCTGGTATATCGCACTGAATCCTCGAGCAAAACCACCAAATTATTGGTTCAAATTGCTCCGGAACAGTTGGTTTCGCTTTTAAGCGTTCTTTTGTGACGAATTCAATTAAAATTTTAAATATTTTTCAATAATTTTTGGGCACAGAATTTTCTGTAACCTCACTGAACGCCGAATTAGGTACGCACTGAATGTTGGGTAATTGTTACGCAATCTCATGTGATTTCCTTGTGACGTAGCATAACAAGGAAATGGTGGTCGTGTGTACCTAGTTATACATATAGAATTTTAAACCCAGTGCTTGTTGTGTGTTAGTTTACTGGTTTCCTGGTCACAGGGCAATATTCTCAGTATTCAGAGTGTGGGCTATTCACCATGCAGTTCATGTCAAAGGCAGCTAGGGGCGAATGAAATTGACCAACTGATGCCAATCACACTGTCCATACACAGTAAGATTAGCAGCATAAGACAGAGGTGTATATAAATAAGTTTATCCACTAGAGCACAAAATACCTTTATGCACCATTCTAATGCTAGAAGATTTTACTCATGGAACATTGAAAATTAGTGGAAATTAATAAGGGAAGGTGGTTAAAAAACAACATAATAAAACTAGCTTCTGAGTCCAGCAATGCAACTAGTGGATCACGCTGTATACACCTTTGTTACACGTATGTGTGTATTTGCGTGTCGTGATTTTTTGCCGAAATGTTTTTCAATAGAAAAGTTAAGGCTACAAGAAGCACAGTACTGATTATTTTTTAATAGAGACTTATGTACCACTGCTGCTGTAACACTTGTACAAGCAAATTTTTTTTTTCTTATATGGAGAAATTATGTTGTTTTTGCGATATAGGTTCAAGTTTTTTATGTGCTTTCCAAAAATGCAGCAAATAATTTTGTTACTCTGATGTATGATTTGGAACAAAAGAGTTCGCGCAGAATGCAGGAAATCGCATTTCCGAGGTTCTAGATTTCAAATTTTCTCGGGGGAGGATATATATATATATATATATATATGGAAATATATATATATATATATATGGAAATATTTTCTGGGAATTCAAAAAATTTCTGGGACCAATTGTCCCATGGTCCAATACTTTTTCCACCCCTGCTGTTTAACGGCAAGGATTCAGCTCTTTGAAGAAAAGTTTTCGCTATGGATCTTTTATGGCTTACCAGTATTAGTCTGTGTGTGTGGGTTTGCAATAAACAGTCTATAACTTCCCTTCGACAGTTCTGTGCACATTCAAATCTAAAAAAGTTAAATGTCCATTTATCTCATGTTCTACCATGTTGCAGCAGAATATTGACGAAACGTTTCCAAAACAATAGGAGATACCGGAACAGAAGCTAAAGCTGTTTGTTTGACATCTTCCATTACTAAATCAGCAATGGGAAAACGTTGCTAATTGCTAACTAGTTGCCACACGAGATTGCATGGCAAAACTTAAAGTAATTACCACAAACAATCACTATGGTCAAAGATTTGCCTAGAAGCGTGGCATATAAAAATGAGTAATCATACTTTGAAAAGGGATGATGGTAAAACATGATTGATATACCTGGTTGCAATGAACGAACAAACTTTAAATTTACATATCAAAGTGAATTAAATCAATTATATCTTTGCATGTAAACAATAAGAGCAAATAATTGAATAAGAATTTCACCAAGTCTTTAAACTGAATGAAACTGGGCTATTTTGACTATTAAAATGATTTTAAATCAATCAAACACCAATTGTAGTATAGTTACTTTGTTTCAAAGTTTTCACCGCTTTTCATGGTGTCACTAGTAGCTGGAAAACTTACTGTTATCTACCATAAATTACTATGTGTTTCTATTGTATCAATAGAACAGATTTATGTTTCTTAGGGAATGTAACAAAGTTACTAGTTCTGTGAAACCTCCTAAGCCAAATAAGGTTCAATGACCAGTGGGTAGAGCAAATAAATTTGTACAAGATATGAAAGTTTTAAAAAATCCTATAGAATAGCTGCGCAGAAATTTATAGTTTAACATGCTATTCTTGTCAGTGTGAACGTGCTAATTAATTAGTATTTGCTAAAATATCTATGTCCAAGCTAATATTTTGTTATTTCGCAGTTTCATTTAAAACCATTACAACCAATAACCCGCAGATAACTTACTATGAATGGAAAATAAACCGAAAAGTGCTACAATAATCAACATACACCGCTTTAACTTTAGGTGATTCCACCGCCAATGCGACAAATGATGAAGCAGAAATGATGCCCGAGGAGAGAAATCCAATCGAGGGTAAAATGGATATATACCTTTCATATACATACGTCAAACATGCATGGGAAACAAAATACTGCGAATTTTCAAGGGAATTTTTGGAGCTAAAGGAATTTTTTGGCAATGACTTGCAGTGAACATTGTCTTGTACTTAGTATTCAAATTAAATTCAATAACTTACGGTCGAATAAGCGATAGTACTTTATTGAATGATAAATTTCTGAATGAAAATAATAATAAAATTCTTTCTATAAAATTAATCATTTTCTTTCTTCTTTAGATATAATATGCCATCTTTGCAGACAAAAGGGCCATAAGAAGTGGAAATGCTCACTATGCCAGAAGACAAAAAAAACAGAAGAAGAGGCAACAGAGGGGGGAATAAAAAATGTAAATATATATTTGTGAGAAAAAAATGCAATTTTGTAAACTTCTGAAAAGCATTATTTGTAGACCTCAGCCACCTAAGGTCCTACAACCAGTGGATAGAGGAGATATATTTGTACAAGATATGAAAGTGCTAAAAATCCTATAGAATAGCAGCGGAGAAATTTATAGTTTAACATGCTATTCTTGTCAGTGCATACGCACTAATTAATTTCAACCAAATATCGTTCAGTGGATAGAGCAGATAAATTTGTACAAGATAGCACGGTGGTCAGTTGGTATGCAAAATCCTCCCGGATCAATGTTGACCATGTGACCCAAAAGCAATGGCGCAATAATATTTCTATGAGCGACAATGTTATAGGATGTTTGGCAAGCGTTTGTAGCTTTTTTTATGTAAAATAATATTTTAAATGTATTAAAGGATAAAGCTAGGCTTTAGAAAGTGATCCCAGCGAGCAAAAGGATGTCTACTCAACGTTGAATCAATGTTGGAAACGATCACCCAGATGTTGGATAGACGTTGAAAAAGGATTGAAAATGCAAATTGGATTGATGTTACTCTTTTGACGTTGAACCAACATTGAGATTAGGTTGCCAATCTCGTCAACCATAATTGAACGTTGAATCCATGTTGAAACAACGTCGAGAATCCTTCACAAGTTGACGTCGTATAACCAACCATCAACAAACGTTGATTTGACATCTATTTGCTGCTGTTGAACCAACGTTCATAAAACAATGTCAGAGCAACGTTGATATTAGGTTGTCGACGTCGTGACCTTTTTCAACCAAATTTCAACGTTGAAATAACGTCGTGTGCCCAGTGGGATATTTGTTGTCAGTTTTTTATGCGAAATATGTTTATAATTCGCATCGAATTGACCCTATCTTGCAGCATATTTTGTGTTTCCATGGCGACTGTGTGCGACAAAATATACTGTTAAGGGTCCCCCTAGAAAGGCAAAGTCAAGTAACCAATTTTCACTTTTATTCTCCCCCTTGGCAGTGCATATATTCCATGTAAAATTTTAAAAATTGGAAATTGTGCTATTATTTCGCCAAAATTTCCTGATAACTTCATTAAATCTAAGTCTCAAAAAAAACTAAAATCAAAGTTGGAAATAATCTTATTTTCTTTCATTTAAACTGGCATCAAACTCAGGAGAGAGGAAAGAGACGTCTGTGGAAATGTTGTTCATTTGCATATTTGTAATTTATATGCGGTCGCCATATTGGTTCCTTCCTCTCATAGTATCATGAACTTTGTTTATTTATAGCATACATTTCTATTATTTACAGTCCAATATCTACATGCAGAAAAAGTAAAAGGTGTAGTAAGAGTCCAAATCACAGAGGAATATGTAATTCTCAAAAGCAGACCCACAAATTCTGGGAGAAATCTCCCATATACAATCTCAAGGCAAGTCAAGGTGATCAGACAGAGGGGGGAAGTTCAAAGCAAGGAAGCAAGCTTACATGCAACCGACTACCAAATTTTGTTGAAAAGGCAGGAACTTGAAGACCTTGCAAAACATACAGAAGAACAAACATTGGTAGCCAGTTAGTAATATTATTTAAAATTTTTAAGTCTATTCAGTATTGCTGCATGATGTAAATAATTATATAGAAATATAAATAATTATATAAAGATAATGAATGTACTAGCGAAACAACTGGATATCCACATGCAGCCTATCCAAGTTGTTTTGCTAGCAGGTTAATTATTTATGGGCTACGTAAAGGTAGGTTGATCATGTAAATTTATTTTTACAAATATCACATTCATAGGTTTCTCTCCTTTTAATATGTACAGGATAGTATAGCACCAACTAGTCCATGAGTCATTTGAAATCCCTGAGCCTCCCCGGGGGAAAACCGTGGGTCGATTACCTCCTATCCATTGGGTTATCATTGAATTTCACACACTAGAAAGTGAATACTCCCAGGTGTTGGGGGGTTTGGGGGGGGGGGGTTAAATTACTTGTGCATGATAGTCTGTTTAAACCATTGAACTATAAATAAACTGGAAGGCTAACTGCTATGATGAAGGCCTATGATTTGATGAAGCCAAAATAGTTTTTCTGAGTTATGAGCAGAAATACTTGACCCCAAACGTCGGGCTACATATCAAATTGAAGCTATTGAAAATTGCTATTCGGTGTGGAAATTTCAAGACTTCAGCGAAAAGAAAAATCTTTAAAAAATACAAAAACAACTGCAAAACGGCAAATTATCGGTAATTATGTTTGTAGTTTTTCAATATTTCCCTTTTAGCTAAAGTCTTGAAATTGCTACACCAAATAGAGTTTTTCAATAGCTTCAATTTGATATATAGCCCAACGTTCAGTGTTGAGTATTTCTGCTCATAACTCAGAAAAACTAAAATGCACTGGCTTCAATTTCCCCCCCTGAGTTAGCCTTCCAGTTTATTTATAGTTCAATGGTTTAAACACACTGTATATTAAATTTATCTAAATTTGATAACTTTTACATTCATTAACAGGATCTGTTCTTGATGATGCAGTTTCTAAAAGCAAGAGGTGGATAGAGAGGTGGCAGAAAAAGAGAGGGAAAGTAGCTGAACTTAATATCCAGTTTGAAAAGCTCAAGACATTACTGGACCAGAAGGGGTTTGCTCGCACTCGTCACCAAAATACAGCAACAACATTTGAAACGATAAAGTCGTATACTGTAAGTGTGCGATATAGGCGCAGTCCAATGTCTTACAGCCCAATGCTAAAAAAAGAGATGGTGGATAGCTTGATTTCCTCTTAGAAAAGGAGAAAATACCTTGAAGGTGTGGTAAGTCAAGCTTTAAGAGCATACTAAATTGTACGAGTCTCTTAAACAAGCTGTTGCCTTTAAATACCAGATCTTTTTGTCTCGAAGAAAATTTAACCTTCTTTGTAAAACTCAGTTGTCTGCATTTGATGCTGAACAAGAAGTTTGGGTTCCTCGAAATATGAAATGTTTGGCCATAGGTATGGAAATTTCCCTCCCACGAAAGTGTGGGAGAATTTGTAAGAATATAGGTAGTGTCTGTCAAATACCACATGGACCAGGGGTTACACTAGGCTCGGTCCCAGCCGTTCCCTCTTGGGGGCTCTCTTGGAGGGAACGGCTGGGCGCATGCAGTGCGTATTGTTCCGTTTAGCCAATCAAAATACTAGCACCGCAAATCGCGGTGCTAAATAATTATCATAATTATGTCTCGTATTATATATTATTATGTCTCGTATTATGCATTTGGAACACCAGACAGATAGTTAATAGCATTTGTAGCAATTTTACATTGGACTTCTCGATGCAGAGTTTGCTCATTTGGAAGTTCGTTCCTTTTAAAAATAAGTTTTTGGGGTTTAACGTCGCTGATATATAGTTGTTGAAGGCCTAGCCGATTTCTTTGAGGGCTCTGTATGCATGCAGAGATGTTTCTATGTAGGTGGGTAAACACCGTTTAAATCTCTCATTCTCACTTAAGTAAACTTTCTTGAGATGACTTTTACAATACTCAATTTCTTGTTGTAGTTTGGTGCACTTGTTAACTTGTCTCAGGCATGAACGGCACAAATATTTATCGCATGGCACTTCTTCTTTAGCGATATACAAAATATCACAAACATTTTCCAGCAATTCCCGCGTTCTCCCTACGATTTTCGTGCAATATTTTGCATTTTCAACTTCAGTAGAACAAATACAATGGTGGAATTGTTAATAAGTTCTCAGATGTCATTCAATCAATTCATTGCGTTCTTCTTCCAACTGGCTATTTTAATAATGACTTGTATTATTACACTCACCATAAATATTTTATAATTTATGCAGAAATATCGCATATTGGAATTAGTAATAACACGTGATCAGACATTGAACGCACTGCATGCGCCCAGCCGTTCCCTCCAAGAGAGCCCCCAAGAGGGAACGGCTGGGACCGAGCCTAGGGTTACACGTTCTGTTACTGGCTTGGTGTTTATGATCATTGATCTGCATTTGCGGCGTCCCCACCTTTTCTGTAAGCTAGTTTGGTACAATGATAATACTAATCATTTCATTTTCAGTTTTCGGATGATGGGGCTGAACATAGTAGTTCAACTATGTCGATAGGAAGTTTGACGTTCTGGAATTTAGGGGAAAGGGTTCAGAGTAGGGAATTCCAATACCTGTTGCATTGTGTCAGCCTTTCTGAAAAGCATGAGGCTCTTGAGTTGTTGTGGAACAACATACTGAAGAGATGTTGTTATTAGAATCAAGCGTGTTTACACTTTGTGGAAAGGCGTGCGCAATGGAGTTTCAATCCACTACTGAGAGTTTCAACCCACAGCTTAATCAAGCTGCAACATGTCCATCTTCTTATGCTAATGTCCATAAAGGGGACATGTCAAAAATGGGTGGTGCTATTGGAAATGATGTCGATCAATGGAAACCTTATCTTAACACTGTACAAAATGCACATTTGAAGAAGCTGGGAGAATTTAGAAAATCCCTACCTCCTACTTCTATGACTGAGAAAACTCGTCATAGTAAAGTACTTGCATTTATGGCTAAGAAAGGACTGCAACAACTTGGTAATCCTCATATTGGGGAATGTGCAGAAAGAGTTAGGGCAGATCCATTGCATTGTGAAATAAAGGCTTGGCAAAATCCTGTCCTTTATCATGAGGCAATTGATAGGCATCTTTTTTAGAAGTTACTATCTGGACCAGTGGGATCTGAAATTTCAGATAATCACAGAAGTGATGATGGTTCTGATGCTCATGCCCCAGGCACTGTTGTCGATGATGCACTTCGTACAGGTATTTTAGAGCAAAGTTTATGTGAAAATGCTGAATTGACAACAAGCAATGACATTTCTCCAGAAAGCAGTGTACAATTGCCTGAGATACAGGTGCAATTATTTTGTATTATGGGAGTAGAAAGCCTTGCAAAAAACAAGTTAACACATGCCTTGAAAATTCTACCAGCTATAACTCCACATTCTCAAAAATCTGGGTGTGGTTTAGCTTACCTGGCAAGGAGCATTACAGTAATGAACACAAACATCGTAACCGGTTGTCAGTTTGACGTATTGGCACCCAATATGAAGGTGAGACTGACAGACAAAGACTTTGCTACATTGCCCTTTCAAGATCAATTCAGTTTCTCAGGAATGTTGGTGGATTATTCAATATAATTCACATCAGTATAGCCGAGCTTTCAGAGTTGCAGGAATTCTGTAAGCTCTTTTTTAATCTTTTAGTGTTGTTTTTCCCTGAGTTTGTTAATATCACTGTTTGGACAGTTGGATATGCCATACCATACCATACCATACCATACCATACCATGCAAGGAAGCTTTATAATGAATACAGAATTGGGATTGAATACTTTCTCTTCAGGCAAAGGAATCAAAAGATGCAGGTATCAAGAGGGAACTCATGTTAACTAACAGATCAACGAGCAGTTCCGTTGGGGGTAAGTGGTGGCATATAATGAAGGCCAATTATGTTAGATCTTTTTATTTACCTGAACATCAACCCTCACCACCAACCTACACATCTCACTTCAACTCACATACACTATCTCATTGTGAGCTTCTAATGTTCTGCGATTGTGGTCGAAAGAAAGATATTGAGGATTTGTCTTGTTTTATATGTAGTAGTTGCTCCCTTGTTATTGATTGTGCCAAGCAGCAAAAGCTCTTACCAGCAGTAATTACCATTTTAAAACCTGTTGTGTGCCCAAATGTGCAATAAAACCTTCCCAGATCCAGACAGTCTAGATGATCACAGCATTGTGCATGGCAACAGTTCTTTCAACCTGACAGGTCAAAATAAGGCTCAAGGTCAAAAGGCTTCAACAAATAAGACCCAAGGTCAAAAAAGGTTACACAGGATATGCCAGTTCCTCAACTTAAGGAGGCTTTAAGGAAAAAAAGGTCTATCTACTTCTGGGACAAAAAATATTCTTAAATGACAGTTGGAGGGTGTTTTGTTGGAAAATTAAGTTTTTCCAGTTATTTACCATAAGGACTCTGGCAGGATTCTAGTTTTAATTTGTGTTTTCCACTCTGACATTCAAAACCGGTTTTATCACCCAATTGAGTAGTGGAGTACCTGGGTAAAATTCCTTGAAGCATATAAAGAACCAACCAAACTCTACTTACATCAGTAGTTTTTTTAAATCTCAAGTTCTCGACTAGCAGTAACAGTTCCTTAACTTTAACCCTTTAGTGGCAATGCGCCCAGATGTGCCCTACTTTATTATTTTACTCTGTTTAATGCCAGACGATTTTACTCATCAGGGAGAGAGTGCTGCCACTCAATGGGTTCCTCGGAGTATCTGCCCATGCACCTTGTTAACTCTTCAAGTGGCAATGCACCCAGTTGCACCATACTTTATTATTTTACTCTGTCTAACACCAGACGATTTTACTTGTCAGGGAGAGAGTGCTGCCACTCAATGAGTTAAGGAGACTTTAAGGGGAAAAGGTCTATCTACTTCTGGCACTCATTGGTAAAATAGAGCATACCAAGACTATTTAGTATTTTTTCCCTATCTAACAGTAGTTAAACCCTTTATCGCAGTAGTTGGAACTCGTTTGGGACTTCGGACAATTGAAGAAAACTCTACTAAGAAAATAATAGGAGTATATAAGCTTTTCCACATCAACAGTGTGATATGATATGTAGTATTATCATTGAGCCATCCAGCCTGAAATGTATTAAGTGTTCAAAGCTCTGTGCTTTTATGGATTCACTTAAAATTGCACTTATATTTTTCCTGTTGATTTATAGCTCATTTGTAGATCAATCAAATTGGTTCATTAATAACATGCGCCTATGTAACATTGACTGTACAGTTAATGTATTCTTGTATTATATCTTGCAAGGGGGTGCAAGTGTAGGTAGGTAGGGATGTGAATAGTAACTGAGAAGAGTAGGTTATCCGACTACCTGAAAAATAATTTCTTTGAACTTTCAAGCAAAGGCTCTTTTTCAAGAAGTTAGATTATATACTGCGGTCAATAAGTTAGTTACTGTTATTTAATGGTAATTAATGTTCTTGGAGGTAAAGGCTGTGTTCTATTTTGGTAGTTTTCCTATCGCGGGTGGAACTGAAATGGTTGCATCTTTTTCTGTAGGTGTCTAGCCTAAACATTTTTTCTGTCAACTAACTGTTTGCAGACCCACATGAAAGTTGAACAACTGATTTTTCACATGATTAAAATCAGTCATTGTGTCTGTGCAGGCAAAAAGACCATAATGGTAAACAGCCTTAATAACTGTGTGCCTTTTGTAAAAATAGGCATGTGACATATCTATCTGTGAAAAAACCTGAATCACATTTTGTATTTTTGTTGACAGGAACTGAAAAATGATGAAGACATGGGACAATTTAAATATTTCATCACTTATTGTAATAAATATAATAGCAAATAAAATTTTAAAGTGAAACATAATACACATCTAGCAATGCTGTACACAGCAGGGAGGGCAGCAAAGTCATTTCTTTGATGACACATAGAACAAAGTAATTGCCTAATTTTTAAATATTACAAACAGACTTTGGCAATGCTGCAAGAGGATCTGACAAAGAGTATCAGCCTCATGTGTCAAATTCTGATCCCATACTGCCCCACCGTCAATCCAATTTGCCCTACTCATTTTACATTACACTCTGTCTAATGCCAAAATGGTTTTACTCGCTAAATAAAGACCCTTGCACATTATGCCACACAAGCCTATAACAGAAGAAAATAGTTTTGACATCTAGAGCGGAGGCCCTTAGTCATGTACCCTGGTTCCAGAAGCTCTTTGCAAGGTGAACAAAACGAGAGGCGAGAAGTAGCTTCTGGTCACATTGATTGCAAATGCCACTTCCACACATGATTAGAGCTTCAGAGTTTGAATCTTGCATGTGATTAGCCATTTGTAAAAATATGTCAAACTGGTTTGGGAAATAAACCTTACTGTAAGCTGAATATAGCTATTTACTGTAAGCCAAATATAGTTATATTTAGCTTACAGTAATGTTTATTTACCAAACCGGTTTGACATATTTTTACAAATGGCCAATCACATGCAAGATTCATATTCTGAACCTAATAAGTGTGGAAGTGGGATTTGCAACCGATGTGACCAGAGGCTCTTCCTTCTCGCCTCGTGTTTCTTTCAACTCTGGAACCAGTATTTGTCATGGGGAATTAATTTATAGCTCGTAGATAGGCAGTGCTATGAAGGCAGTACAAATTCACTTAGGCCGCATTTAGACAGGGTACTCGGTACTGGTGCCTGGGCACAATATTCAAGGATGTTCACACTGGCTACCAAGAAATTTGAGCACAGTGCCATCATTGTGTCCTGCCCAATTTTTTATCCAAGTATTGTAGTCAAACTGGTACCAAAATAAATGCTGTGCCCAGGCACCAATGCCAGACACCAGTCTAAAAGCAGCCTAAGCAATGTTTAAAATTATAGGGTTTAGTTTAGGTAAAAATGATTACCCCAATTTGAAATATATAAATTTGTCAAATGTTATTTGCTATGTTTACAAGCAAATAAATACAGCCTTCACAACACTGCACTACAATTAATATAAAGACTCTGACATTATAATTGAACAGAATTACAAAGTGCTTGAAGTTGCAAGTTTTGAGCAAATCCATCCTTGTTGTATCTCTGTACATAAAAGGTCACAGTCAGTTTTTCCAAGTTATTTGAGTACTCAAATAAAATTGGAGTGTTCTTCCCCACAACAACAGATGCCCTACCGTTAAATTTCAGCACATTCTGGTCGTTTTCCTTCACTTTGGAGAAATGCCGTTTCCGTAAATAATTGTCGTCTTCAAAGTGAACAGGAGAAAACACTTTGGAAGCTGTGCCGAGAGTGTTTATCTCCAAATATATCTATAATCGTTTGCTTTCTTCGCAGGTCATCTCATCCCCATATCCGACACACAACGTGCAAATATGCCGAAATAAATTGTACTGTATAAACATGCTAACCGGCAGCATGAAACCAGTGCACTTCGACTAGCGGCCCTGCAATCTCTAGCTTAAGGGAGCATCACTCTTCAAAGACAGCATCCAAATTTCACATGCCAAAATATGGATTGGGTTTGGCATCCCATGTTGCGTCCAGCCATGCCGGTTCAAGATTGAACTTCATAGCCACCAACGCTCTGTTCCAAAAATGTTTTGGTCGCTCTGTCTCATTGTTATCCTGGCCAATATTCAGGTTTAATAACTTTGAAGAAATATTGCTTTCTGCCATATTTGAATTTTTGGTGGGCAATTAGAATAATAATGGAATACTCTGCTAACAATCTGAGCCTGTGCTTTCGGGAGGATTTTGCATAGCAACCGACAACTGTGTAGGAAAGTTTAAAAAATCGTATAGAATAGCAGCAGAGAAATTTATAGTTTAACTTTCTATTCTTGTCAGTGTGTGCACGCTATAATTAGTATTTGCTTACAGCTAATACCGTTCAGTTTGCGGCTGAATTTTGATTGTTTCTAGACCTAAGCCACCTAAGGTTCAACAACCATTGGATAGAGCAGATAAATTTGTACAAGATATAAAGTTTTAAAAAATCCTATAGAATAGCAGAGGAGAAATTTATATTTTAACATGCTATTTTGTCAGTGTGGGCGTGCTATAATTAGTAGTCGCTTACAGCTAATATTGTTCAGTTTGTGGCTGAATTTCGATTGTTTCTAGACCTAAGCCACCTAGTTCAACAACCAGTGGCTACAGCAGATAAATTTGTACAAGATAGGAAAGTTTTAAAAAATACTATAGAGTAGCAGTGCAGAAATGTATAGTTTAACTTTGTATTCTTGTCAGTGTGTGCACGCTGTAATTAGTATTTGTTTACTGCTAATACCTTTCAGTTTGTGGCTGAATTTAGATTGTTTCTAGACCTAAGCCACCTAAGGTTCAACCAACCAGTGGATAGAGCAGATAAACTTGTACAAGATATGAAAGTTTTAGAAAATCCTATATAATAGCAGCGGAGAAATTTATAGTTTAAAATTTGTGGCAAGTTGTATTTAATATTTATTAGCAAAGTGGATAGCTTTTAGGAAAGTATCGTTTTGCAGTGCCTTGAGAGACGTTTTTTTTTTGTTTTTTTTTTCAGAAAAGCATAAAGGTACTGGTTAGCTAATGTGACCTGCATGGTTTGTTTTTTTCTAGTTCATTTGGGAGAGATGAAATGGCTGTATTTGTGATTTTGACTGATTGGATTTAGTTCATTTACACAATATCGAATATCATGTTGAATGTCATGTTGAATCTCATGCGTACTTCACAGTGGTTACATTTTCTGATCTTGAAAACTGTTGGCATGAGAGATTTTTTAAATTCACAAAAAATATTCAACATACTAATAGGCCTAGTAGAAATCATCTTATAAAATAAAAAAAATGGAGGTCTCCAACTTTATTTTCAATTTACAGTCAACAAATAATTATTGTTACAATCAGAAAATCGTACTTTTTTCAAAAAAGTGTAGGTAGCCACCTTAAGTGATGCTAAAACATGTTATTGGTCAGTGAAAAAATTTGCTGCGAAAATATTGGATCAGTTTGTATTTTTTTACTGTTTGCGCGAACAAATTCGCCCAGTGGAAAATGGGCTTAATAGCGAGTTTACGATTGATGACGCGCTGCACAAAGACGCCGAGGGGGGGCTAGAGACTAGCGCGGCCAGGTTGTCTTCAATGTTTCGTGCGACGTCTTCCCACCTTTCACGACGCTATTTTGAAAATTCTATGTAGTCCCTTACGAAAATATTCTATAGAATATTACATTGAAATATTCTATAGGATATTCTATGGCATATTCTAAACGATTTTGGAACACATTCTATGGGATGTTCTATGGGATATTCTATGGAACATTCAATAGAATATTCAACTGAATTCTATAGAATATTCTATAGCATATTCTAAGCGATTTTGGAACATATTCTATGGGATATTCTATGGAACATCCAATAGAATATTCAGCTGAATTCTATAGAATATTCTATAGACGTCTGTTGAATATTCTATAGCATATTCTAAACGATTTTGGAACATATTCTATGGGATATTCTATGGAACATCCAATAGAATATTCAACAGAATTCTATAGAAGATTCTATAGACGTCTGTTGGATATTCTATAGCATATTCTAAATGATTTTGGTGCACATTCTATGGAATATTCAACTGAAGAAAACACAATTACTGTTGTATTAAAAAAAGTAGTTTAATAACTAATAGTTAGTGGAACAGCTAGTTAAACAATCAGAATTATGTGTTTATAGCTATCATTCAACTAGGAAATGGGTATTTAAAAGATAGTCATTGTAAGACTTTTATACAACTGGCCCAAGCAAGTTGGCAACTCGCAAGTTGGCAACTCGCAAGTTGGCAACTCGCAAGTTCGCAATAATTATAATAAATTTATTATGTGGAGAATCAGAATATCATGTATATAAACTTTGCAAAGATTTCGGTCTGCCTGGATTTTCATATTAAGTACGAACAGATGTAAATATCCAGGATTGGATCAAAAGTGCTGCCAACAGAACCAATTTGGCATTGCTCACAAACCAAAGTAACTATGCAAGAATTAAAATAATAAACCTTGAACTAGTCAAAACTGTTGTAGAATAACTCTTTTTAGTGAATATTTTTATTACAATAAGTGTTAATATTACTGTTCTGTGCAGATGCTTTCTGTTTTGACTTTTCTACTTGTCACAATGTTGTTAATCCTTGTGTTAATCATTTATCTCATCATTGTTAATCCTTGTGGTCATCATTGATGCATGGTCTTCAAGAAGAACACTGCCCATTTTTCAAGAGCCTTAGTCAGAAACTATATCTGTTTGGCATGGCATTACTAAAAATGAAAATTGAGTAAATTTTACCCATTAAGTTTCATTGCATCCTATTATTTTACTCTGTCTAACACCAGGGTGACCAGACAACTTTACTCTTCAAGGGAGAGCAGTTTTGCTCAATGGGTTAACCCTTTAATGTGCAATGCACCCCCATATGTCCCACTTTAGTATTTACTCTGTATTGTATAACGTACACCAGATGATTTTACTTGTCAAGGAAAGGGGCTTGGACGGTAATGGGTTAATCAGGCCATCTGCATGCCTATGTGTCTAGCTAACCATTTAAATAAAATTAAATTTACTTTTAATTAAAAGTTTAACTAAATTAAAGTCATGTATATCAGTTACAGAAGCACGGCCCTGTTTAGGGGTGTTTACACTTTAGAAGATCCAGACTGATTTGTCTGGCTTGGGGACCACAATTAGCTGGGCCAGGATGTCATTTTCCTCATATAAAGCACTAATTAACCCATTAAGCTGCAGAGCCTCCCCATTGATGAGTAAATCGCCCAGAGATAGACAAGTAAAAAAAAAATAGGGCACACTGGGGCACATTGTGGCCCAATGGGTTAACTAGAGACATTGTCAGATTTTTTGGTTAATTTAACCCATTATTAGCTGTAGCACATTGTGGCCCAATGGGTTAATGAAAACTGTAGCGTACACCCCGCCAATAGAAAACATATTATATGTTGTTGTAAATATACTGTTAAATGTTCAATTGATGTTACTTGGCAAAGTTAAATAAATATCCAGCTGTTGAGAACAATATTTGGGGCCGGGCTATAACCCAGCTGCAATATTTAATACAAAAATATATAAAGGCTTTATCTCAATCGGCACTAGTGCATCTTGAAGCTTTACAGATATATTCTATACATGTATACAACTAAATTAAGCTCATTCACCCATTAAAGAGAATTAAATAGCTAATTGCAAGATGAAGTAAAATTGTCTGGCATTGGACAGACTAGTAATGCAATAGTAGATTAGTAGGGTGCATTTTGGGCACATGCATTGCAGCTTAATGGGTTATTGAAGATCAATACACTGAAAATATCACATTAAATGCTGTAATTATTCTGTAATTCCAATCCTTAGTGAAGTATTAAAATGTTATTAACATATATATCTTTGATATGTTTAATTATTATATTATTTCATATACTTTGACAAAGGTCTATGCATCTAGCAAAGTGCCAAATTATGCCAAAGACAAATATTGCTAAATTGTTACAATAGTGGGTAATTTAGTATAGAATTCACAATAATGGATTAGAATTTATATTTTATTTATTCTTCCCTTGCTAGAAATCGAAATTTCGTATGTTTTTTTATGCAAATCGACGCGGCAAATTCAAACATTCAACGGAATTTAAGACATATGGCCAAGTATAAACAATCATATTCACTACATTATTTCGGAATTAAAGTGCTTAAATAGCATCAAACATGAAACTGTTCTTACCTGTGAGATTTGAATAACATTTTAAGAACTTTCCAATGCCTTTTCCATCGTTTGGGTTAAAAATATAAGGGAAAATTTCCCTTGAAATCCACATGTAAGAGTATTTTGAAATTTCAATTTTAAAACGACGCTATCCCATGAAGCTTAGCGCCCTTGCATGTAAATTAGGCACCAGGCTTCCAGTCAATGCGCGAACTATTGCTTCTAAAGAAAATCATATCTAATTATCTTATATAAGACTAATATTATATAAGAAAATATTAAAACATCTTATTTAAAGAATCTTAAGTTAATCAGTTAAGTTATTATTAGAAAATATTTTTTGTTTCAAGAACAAATTGTCTTGAAAGAAATATTTTTCTAAAATCAATCATGATCTTTTCTCTTCATGTAAATTTTTGGGACACAATACTGTAATATTGTAATATAAAGTATAAATAATAAACTAGGCTTAAGTCAATAGGTTTATCACATTCTATGATATACTCTATAGAATATCCTATACTATTTCATTATAGAAATATTCTATAGAATATGCTATTGGATGTTTCATTTGAATGTGCAATAGAATATTCTATAGGATCTGGAAGTTCTATAGAATATGGCAATAGAATATTCTATAGGATCGCAAGTTCTATAGAATATTCTATAGGATATAGAATATTCTATACCATATTCTATAGGATTCTATAGAACATTTTCGTAAGGGGTGCTGACAACGTAGCTTGTTTCAAGGTTAGTTATTGCTTTTCTTCTTTTTTAAATATCAAATTCGATAAGTATAATTCTCCTTCTGTTTATATGTGTGCCCTGGTACAATTTTCCCAATGTTTTGCCTGTTCCCATGTTTTATATTGTGTATATAGTGCCTTTATTGCCAATTGCCATGTTAAATTAAAACAAGATATATGGAGTCAAAAGGAGCAGAAGACCAATCAAGTCGAAGGGTCCCATTGTATGTAAAATTTATAATTAACTCCTTGGTCATTTAATTTCCATGTTGTTTTTCATTATAAATAGATTAGTGAATGCAATATATGAATTTAATATAAGCCCCCTTTGTCCTTGCCTTGTTTATAAAGTACATTTACCTGACAGAGCTGACACTCCTGATAGGCTACAAAATGATATTTCATATTTTCCTGCTAAAGGCTTCTTGACACCTTTTATTATTATCAAATAAGTAAATGTACAATGTACTTATGTCAGAGTGTCAGTAACCCAAAATGAATCTTCACTTTAATTTAATTTAATTTAATTTATATTTTACAATTGTTTATCAAATTTTATACCAATTTAATTATCTGTGTTTTTGTTCGCAAAATTTCAAGTGTCGTTAATTTCCTAGAAGAATATTACCATTTGCAAGCAACCGTGACAGGCAAACTTTAAAACGCGTTTGTTTATGTTTGAAACGTCATGTTGGGTGTGTTAAACATGCTAATTATAACGTGGAAACAAAACGTTTCGACCGTGACATGTGACATGTTTGACAATAGAAACCTGCATGTTTTACAAACTCGAGTGCTCGTTTTAAAACAAATTTCTTACGTTTTACTGTATGTTTGCGATGATGTCTGCCCAAGTGAAAATTCTATACGGACATAACTACGAGAGATGTAAAGTCACTAGAATTACTGTTAACGAATTAAACAGATTAAATTTGAATAAGCTGGAAAGTCTAGTACTCGGCGTTGTCGGGAATTATTATAACGGAGAAAAAATACGGATGCAATACCGGGACGATGAAGAGACGTTTGTCACAATATCAAATGAAAGTGATGTAAAAGATGCTGTTCTTGCTGCCACACCGGTACAAAATACGGGAGATTTTAAACTAACCAGATTATGCATACGAGTTGATGATGTCCTAACTCCTGTTGTGAAATGTCGTGCCAGCCGTGAGAATGAAAATGCAAGAAGCAGTGCTAATTTCGCGACACAGTCGTCTTTAAAATCTCAATTCGAACCAGAAGTGATAAATGATTCCAAGCGAAAAAGACTGTACTTCGACGGCGACGTGGAAACAGAACAAGATGATAATGTTGATTTTTTCGATTCTGATTCTTCAGAAGAATCTTTATCTGTTGAAACACCCTATCAAAGGTACATGAAAAAAGCGAAGAGTGATATTGACGAGAAAAAGGCTGAACTGCAGAAACTTGAAATGGACGAGCGTGAAATACACAGGAAATTTCTTTTGGTAAAGTCAAATCCAGACAATGGAAACTTGTGCCGCACTTGTCACCTGCGGCTTGGCCATACAGCAAGGAATTGCGAGTATGGCAAATGCCAGTCTGTTTTCAGCTGTGGGGAGGAAAAATTTCATCCCGGTGAAATTGACACTCGAGGAATGCGATGTTCTATTAAGAAAAAAAAATCGGAAATCGCAAAACTGGAAAAAGACTTAACTTTAAAAGAAGAGGCATCAAGACAACTTAGCGGTATGTTGTCGACACGAATTGAAAACGCTCTAATGCAAGAGAACAGAAGCCACTACATCGAAGGTGGGCAAAAGAAATGGCTCAATCTACGAAAAGATGTATGCATAATAGAAAAGTATTGCAAAGAACAATTCAATGGTAAAATTCCACCAAAACATAAGGTTTCAGACATTCTGCATGCCGCCCTTCAGCAAAGAGATAAATATGGGTGTGACGGGAAAGATTTAAATCAAGTACGCAAAAGAGGAAATCGAGCCATAAAGGGTTTGTTAGAGCAAGAAGGAATTTGCTTTCCAAAACCCAAAGATGCGCCCAGTACAGTGCCCAGTGGCAGTGAAGACAATCCGAATATGTTGACGAAACATCCAAGTTCAGTTTTACGAACTGCGCCATCAAATATAGTCGAAGAAACAGAACAATTAAATATGGTATTAAAACAAAGTCTTTTAGATTCGAGTCATATGCCATCGTCCACGACAACGCCATCTTACTATCCCACATTTCATCCGTATGCGCAAACACCATTCGTATTTAATCAACAAATGGGTATGCCAACATTTCCCTATTGCCCAAGTCGTTTACCTGACACCTCCATGCAGTATCCAAATGTTGATATGCCACCAGCCTTGCAGCAATCCCCTTTCCATGAAGCGATTCGTCAGGGTGAAACCGAGCTAGCACAAACGTTTCCACTTCATGCGCGTGAAACGAAGGTTATTAGCCACTCAACCGACTCAAGAATGCCCACAGATGCGTTGTCTTATGCAGAGCCACCAGAGAATTCAAGTTTATATGATAACGAAGTCCCTGAAAGTCAGTGCCAAAGTAATGTAGATAAGGATTCAGAAGAGCGAGATGCAGCCAATGCAGCCACACAACTTATGAACCTTGTGACGTTGGGCGCACAGAGGCGTTAAAATGACATTTCAAATTGGAAACAAACACAGTTACGTTCGTAAGCAATATACATTTTAATACTGGTTCAAATTTATACTTTTATGCTTGAATACACATTCAGCATAGTTTAAAACATTTGATATCATTTAAGCCGGTTACAGACGAGTAAGTTTTCTATGGCAAGTTTTTATGTGACAAATTTTATTTGCCAAGTGCACGTGTGTATATGCAACAAATTTTATATGACAAGTTTCATATGACAAGTTTTATTTATTGGTCTGAACGTGTCAGAAAAAGGTGTTTATTGCCACCATGACAGAAAAATTATAATAGTTCGCTGGCCAATCACATCAAATGCTCAGATAACAAGTTTTCTTTGTTGTCTTTGTCCTTTGACAATTTTTTCTATGACAAGTGCACTTGTTCAAAAGCTAGCATGCTAGCTTTTGAACAAGTGCACTTTTCATAGAAAAACTTGCGCGTACAGACGAGCAAATAAAACTTGTCACATAAAAACTTGTCATAGAAAACTTGTTCGTCTGTAACCGGCTTTACATGTATTTATATTTTGTTCTATATTCTGCTAATTAATATGCAAATAGACGATCGAGTTAACAAGAGACAAACAGAGCACGAGGTATTTATACCGCTAAATAAATGTATCACAAGTAGTTTATAATGAGATATTTATCTAGATATATACCTGATTAAAGTATTCATTGTGTATATATGTCTAGTTAAATACATCATGAATAGTTTGATGAGGTATTTATATAGTTATATACCTCATTAAACTATTCATTCATGAATATTTTGTGACTAGGTCCTTTACAAATCAATTACCTTTGTTGTTGAGCAAAACACTTTACAATACAGTATTAATGCGCGTAGAAACAAAAGCTTCTACAATTACAGTAACTCAAAACATTCATAACAAGGGTCGCAAACATAGATATGTCTATGGTCGCAAATCATTAATTATGGTACAACTAAAATTTTGAAATAAAACGTTTTGTTGGCATGATGACAAATTAATAGTAAGTAAGAAGTTGCGCGATAAAATTGACGTGCATCTAAATCTGTTATTCGTTCAACAGCCTCTGTCACTGCTAATTTTAAATTGTCGCGTACATTATCAGAATAACGCCCATTAAGTTCTGTTTTGACCTTGTTGAAGCAAAGTTCAATAGGATTGAGGTCTGGCGAGTATGTTGGTGTGAAAAGTAATTCTACTCCCATTTCTGCTAAAAAGTTTTCAAGCACTTCGCCCCCATCAAAATGGTGAACAGCTAAGTTGTCCATCACAACTATATCGCCTACTGCAATTGCTGGCCTGCCAGTTATATAATTTGCCGCTTGTGATGCCTCCCAGAAGAAATTCCAAAAATGTACTGTATTTGTAGCTCCGTCTATGATGTTCATATATTCAGGACCATTAACAGATATTAACAAATTTAAAGTGGCATTTGGAGATTCCACCTTTTTGACAACCTCTACACACCGTTCACCAACTGGAGCACTTCCATAAAGACGCGTGCCTATTTCAGGAATTTTTACTCCGGCTTCATCGAAGAACTTTATTTTTGCTGGATCCTTTGCAGCAAGGTAATTTATAAATAACTGTGTGTATACAATATTTTCATCGGTAAAACGTTGCTTTGCCACATGTGTAATTTTTTTTCGTGAATATTGTTTACCGGATAAAAGTTTCGACTTGATAGCTCTCGAAATAGAGGATAAACTGATGCTTTCGACGTCACCAACTTCTTCGAGCACAGAATATATTTCGCTTAATTGCGTAGAACCCTTTACTCTTTTAAGCAGTTCGATAAGTTCAAGATCACCGTCCGATAGCTTTCTGCTGTGATCTCCTCCTTTTGGTAGCGGATTAATACGTCGCCGTTGGCAAAAATCCCTCCAGACTTTGGAGACAGTATTGTGGGCAACACCGATTTCTTGAGCTATAGATGTAAATGTTACAGGAAGAAAATTATGAGCCGGATCGCCTCCTCTTTGTAAACATTTATCAACTATTAACGATCGTAAGTCATCACTTAAAGATTTCCCCAAATGGTAAGTTCTACCTCTTTTGCTGACGTTCATCGATTTTGCTTAAAACGCAAACATAAAACGTAAGAAATTTGTTTTAAAACAAGCACTCGAGTTTGTAAAACATGCAGGTTTCTATTGTCAAACATGTCACATGTCACGGTCGAAACGTTTTGTTTCCAGGTTATAATTAGCATGTTTGACACGCCCAACATGACGTTTCAAACGTAAACAAACGCGTTTTAAAGTTTGCCTGTCACGGTTGCTTGCAAATGGTAATAATAACCATGCACCATTCATAAGAATCATAAGCATTTATATGCACCCTATTCTACTATTGAGAAATATATGTAGAAGTAGAATTATTAAGTCCTCACTAGCTTTCCTATTTAAAGAGAAAGTGTCTATATACATGTTGGCATGTTATTTGGAATAAGCTTCTATATCAAGGATGAGGAAAAAAGATATTTGCTGAAGAGGGAAATACAATGCACAGATAGGATTGACCATGGCTTTGTTTTCAAATTATATTTTGGAAATGACAGTGTAGATGCAAATTATCAATTTACCAGAACTGGGATTTCTACTCATTATTCTAACAAAGACATTTTAATCATTTTGTAGGCAAAAGATGTTATGGACCAATAGACATGACATTCTACTCTGCCGAGAAATCCTGGCTTAAGAACCATACAAGTTCAAGCATGGATCCAGGGAAAAAGGACATTGCTGGAACACCATGGCTGATAATTTAAACAGCATGGGGGGAGAAAAATTTATTGTTGACCAAAGATCAGTCGAGATCGATTTTCAAAGCTGGAAAAGCATCATAAGAGAAAAATGGCAGAAGAGGAAAAAGCATCTGGTATTAGTCCTGAATTTACAGAACTTGACGAAGCATTGGAAGACATTGTAGAAAGAACACAGGAAGTGCAAGAAGAGTTTGCAGCAGAGAATGACAAGACAGAAAAGATAGCTGAAAAGGAAAGAGAAACAGCAGAGGATGTAAGAAAAAGATCTATGGAAAGACTGGGAGAAACCAAGGCAAGAGAAAATGCAAAGAAAACAAAAAAATCAAGAAACAGCTCTTTGGAATATTTTAAAGAAAAACATGATAAAGAGCTTGATTTAAAGAGGGAAGAGATGGCAATGAAAGAAAAGGAAGCAGAAAGGGCATGGGAAATTAAAGAACAAGAAATAAAAAGTAAAGAGATGGAAGCAAAGAAAAGAGATGAGGAGTTACGTGCCAGAAAAGAAAGTAATATGATTGCTACATTACAACAACAGCTACAACAGCAACAAGGCATGTTTATGCAAATGCAGCAGCAAAATAAACTGTTATTGCAATTGTTAAATAACAATACAAAGAACGAAGATTGACATTGAAATTATTTACAATGTACACTACAGTATATAATTATTTTCAATAATTTAATTATTTATTTACACCTTATTGTTGAACAAAACCGTATATTGAAGATTAATTTACATGTTACATTAAAAATTGTTTGGCCAAAACATTTTGCAGTTATTTGTATATTTAATAATTAAAGTACCTACCGTAATCTCTCTATTAAGCCTCCTGAGGGCTTAGTCTTTTCAGGCACATTTGCAGGGTGCTTATTAGAGAGAGGGGCTTATTTATCTATGGAATGAAGTTTTATTGAAATAAAACAATGTGTTAAACCAACCATTGTTGTATTTAAAGGGGGTGCTTAATAGAGGGGGGGCTTAATAAATTTCTTCATCTAAAAGGGGATATTTAGGCCCGAGTTATGCAATACTGGATTCACATCAGAGCAACATCAAATTTTACTGCTTCGAGGTGGATTTGGCACCTAAAATTATGATAATATAAGTATATAACATAATTAAACAAAAACTTCATATATGAAAAGTTGTAATAGCAGACAAGACTGGAAAACACCTTAACTGATGTCGCTCCAATATGAATCCAGTATTGTGTAACTGGGGCTTTATTTAAGAGGGGCTTTATTTGAGAGGGGCTTAATAAAGAAATTACGGATAATAAAATTGCAGTGTTCTTGCAATAATGATCCATGTCCATAACAATGTTCTTACTGTAAGTACTCATTGAGGCATGTAAGAGCATTTTTTAGAAGAGCACATACCACATAAAATTTGCCAACAGCACTTAGTCCAATTTTGAGGGGTTTTTTTAAGTCAATGAACTTAAAATAGTTTGCTATGTCCCCAAAAACCCATTGAACAGATACTCTAACTGTGCTCATTGAGCGATTGAACTCTTGCAGGTTAACGCACCCCCCTTAAAAAGGGACGCTGGAGGTGAACTCAATGGGGATAAGCTGGATCACCATACAGAGTACTTCACCAGTAGGCGAATAAGAGTGCTAATGAAGCTTCTCTAAAAGACCAGACATTGTAAGCATTCTGCTGTCATGTCTTTTTCCTTCAACTGGACCATACAAATTAGCTATTAATCCATTTGGTGCCACGACACACTGATACTTTAAAGCATGTACTTGCTTGTGGCCATTGTAAACATCTCTTTAATTCCGCTTTGGTCGACAAATTGGCCTAACCGTTCCATCAACAAATCCCCAGCAATTGTCAAGTGCAGCACCTTTATTATGTATCGCAGTCGCATACAGTTGTAGGTTTTCTGGAGACAACCACGGTTGGTCAAGGTCTTGAAACAGGTGTGAGTACCTCTCATATAGGTCATCAACTACAATGTTGGTATTCATACACAGTTGTGGCACAGGCCGACCAAACCTCAGTACTAAGTCAGCATATCTACATGGATATGCAAACCGTTTCAGGCAAACACAAAGAGCTTCAACAGAGTCAACGACCAAACCATTATAGCACCGGTAAACTTCAGGTAATTTCAAGGAAGAAGCCAAATTGTAAATATCGTTTTTCTTGAAACGCATTTCAATTTCACACTCGTTGTCTCTCATATCCTCAAGGCTAAATATTTCGTACTTCCAGTACGGAAGACCAATGTGTAAGTTACTGTGTTTGTTTTCTTCTAGCAACAACAATAATTCCTCATCATCAATCATATTTTCATCATACATCATAAAAAGTTGTTCCGCCATTTTGAATCAAAATAAATGTGCGTCGTGGTTTGGTCATCGTGATACTTAAAATATGCAAGAAGAGTGTGACGCTCCGACCACGCTCGTTACCAGTTTTCTCTACTGCGTCTTCGTGCAGCGCGTCGTCAATCATAAACTCCCTAATGTCGCAATTACTAAAAGCCTAATGTGCTTTTTCGTCGTTTGTTGGCTGTTTTTTGTTTCGATGTTTTGGCATAACACATCTGCTCCGGATAGAAACATGGAGTGGGTCCTAGTAAGCCTTGCATGCATTTTTTGCAAAATTATGTTTGACAACAAAATGCGACGCTGTTTCACCCCTGATAACCACTTTTCACCCCTGATTCAGGACAAAGTGCCTCTTTGTAGCTAATTGTCCTTCTATGCATAAACCATCGACACCAACAAGACTGGACAAATGTATTTTATGTCAAACAAAAATGCTATTCGATTGTCTTTCAAGCAGTGAAATGGGCAGGGCATATTATTTCTCTTGCAAAAGAAAATGGTGGTGATGACAATGAAGCAAAAAGGGTATAGATATATCAGTGCAAGAAATGGAAATTATAAAATACCATTCATCAATGGGCTATAAAAAATTTCCAGAGAGATATGGAAAAGAAAGCAACAAAGCCACGATGCAGAACCATCTTTGACAGTCTGATGCGGAAAATGATAAAGATCAACACAGAAAAAGGCTTAAGACGAACAATATAAAATGGGTATGTGTTCAGATTACAAGACCATAAAGCAGCAGAAAGTACATAACTTACTAAGAATCTGTGAAAAACAAATGCTCAAAAGTCATACACTCCATGATAAGCAAGATTAAATATTCCTCACCTCAAGTTTGGATCAAATATTCCTCACCTGATTTGGCATCAAAGACGAGACTATCAGTATAACCAGTTCCGCTTTCTTCTTGGTTGACAAGGATGGCTATGTGAAAAAGAGCTTGAAATCCCAGTGGGGGACAGAGTTGTTGAAGCTATGTCCAGAAATAGATGCAAAAGGCCTGACAACTCCACCAACGCTTATATTATCGACTTCATGGAGATGGTTAGAAAAACCCCATTTAAGGAACTGGAACCATCTGTGAAGATATTCAGTGACTTCGCAGTGGCCCTGACTAAAATAATCGTCAATGCTGGGTGCAACAGTGACGAAATCCACATAGTTTTTGACACTTACAAGGAAGACAGCATGAAGAATGTAGAAAGACAGAGAAGACGAAAGTCAAATGAAATTATTGTTCTGGATTCAATTTCGCTAAACCATAGAGGCCCCATTAAACTGGAGAACTTTTGTTGTTCTTCCATTAGCAAAACCGGATTCCAAGTATTCTATGTTGAATGGCTCAAAATCAACTATGAGGTAAATAAACCGCTATATCTTGGTATATCTCCAAAAGCATGGTTCATGTTGGCAGGACGTGCATCTCCATTCCCTCGTCTTGATTGCACACACAAAGAAGCTGATGATAGAATGATGTTTCATGTTCAATATATTTTAGGTAACAAATCTGATCCAACTTCAATTACGCTCTCCTTGGATGATACAAGTGTTTTTGTATGCCTTGTACCACTTTGTTGTCAACTGGGAACATCTTGGTCTTGATGAATTATGGCTTATACGCAATACTGGCCTAAAATGTTCAATATAATGCCACTGACACAAATATGCCTCATGCTTGGGGAAAAGTTAATGTGTCTTCCTGCACTTCATGCACTAACTCGATGTGATACAGCCAGCAAGATAGCGACAAAATTAGCAGCTCTCAATGCTATTTGCATTCCAACAAACCTCCCACTCCTCTCAAACTTTAATTGCCCACAACTGACAGACAACGTAATACAATTGGCCAAAATTTTTTTAGTTAAGTACCTCAAACCATCTACCCACTTGGAAACATTTGATGAGCTGCGCATCAATATATTTGACAACAGTGCCTTGAAATTAGACTTAGAAGAAGTTATTATCAAATGCAACTGTGGATCCAAGCCCCATTTAGAGATGCAACAATCCTTCTAAATGCCAAAGATTGTGGCTTTGAAAGGCTTTTTGGATCCATGCAAGTGTGGTAAATGTGGTAAGAATGCATGTCCCTGCAGAGTGGCCGGAGTTAGCAGTAAATATTGTAAATGTAAGGCTGGAAAAAATTGCACAAATCCAATAACAGAGTGAAACTGAAAGGTAATGGATAAAATGTAGAAATCCATTCAATCCATTCTCCCTGATAGTATAACCCCTAGCAAGATAGTCTACATTGCAAACATTTTTATTTTTCTGTGGTCCTGCGGTTTCAATATAATCTATATTAATCATTACCAACATTGTCCTGTTTCTGCCATGCTGCTGTTTCAAGATAATCAACATTAATCATTACCAACATTGCCCTGCTGGTTCAAGATGATCTACCGGATTACTACCATTAAAGGGGCCCTACAGTCATTTGTTAGTCAAGGAAGTATTGTTTACATTTTTTGTTATTGTCGCTACTTAACATGCGCATCACCGCATGCATGCGTTTTCAGGTGTGCGGAAGTACTCAAACTCATGGATACTGCATGTAAGATACAGCAAAACAAATCTCTGTGGAGTCCCCTACTTAAGGTGGCTTTTCGACTAAAAATGACTGTAGGGCCCCTTTAAAGTGCTTATGTCACAATTTTTTTTTATTAGCAGACAAAAAGTTAGTTAATAGGTCCTTTAACATTTTTCGGTTTTCTCTTTTCATTCACGAGATAGGCGACTCTAAACAGTGATTTTTGTAAAAATGTTGCATATCAACAAGATTCTGGGACAAGTCTGGTGTGACGTAGCTTAAAGGAACTTAATCACGACAGGCATTCTACATTTCTTTATATTTTGTATGTTTTCCGACACTCATGGCTAACAATGTGACTCAGAATACAATTATATTCCTGGGTATATTATAGAGGATGAATCGAATGATACCAGTCATGAAATCGGAAATATATCAGCCAGAGATACTTATTTTATGTTAAAGTGTTACAATAAATCTATGTTTACACGCACCATAATTTAATCCCTGAGCCGACAGTGCGAAGCGCCGTGCAAGGGTACTAATTCCCTCCGACCATTTACACCCGAAGAAACAAAAGCTTTAGCGAAGTCTAAAGTTCATCAATGATTGCAGGCGTGGCACACCAACGATGGGTGGTCATCTTCACTGATCTCAAAAATATGGCAGACTGTCATGAATAACAAACACTGATTGGTCCAATTTAAAGTTTGCATTATAACAACTGCATGACAATAGCAAAATACAAACATTTCTTGATTTGATGATTGATAAATTTCTTGCAAATATATTGCATTTTTGCTCGCATTTTTGCAAGATTTTGTAAATTCAAAAGCTTTCTCGGAAAGAAAGGGTGAAAGAATCAGCTAAAAGAAGGGAGCCGACGTTAATGAAGGTAAGTTTGTTTTAAATAGTGATTTTATAATTGCTTTAAAACCTGACGGCCTTTGCGTATATGAAAGAACTAAACAAGACAGTATATAATTTCAGTGTATCTTTAATATTGATTCCCTTTTTAATTATATTGAATTTTTTAATGAAACACAAAGCAAAGTTATTTGCATGCGAGAATTTGAAATCTTTTTATTGCAAATTAACTCAAAGCTTACCGATAAGGCCATTTAATTAAAGGCAGTTTAGTTTTGATTGATTGATTGGTAACTTTATTAAAGTGTCATGTCTTATAGCCAAAGATCAACTTTCACTAATCGGGGACACTTAAAATTATCCTAATTACAATAATATGAAGCGATTACGTCTAGCTAATTTATCTATTTACATATTCATATCATGCATAATCTAATTATATCATAATCTATTTTATAAAGAACACTTTAATTAAAACGTTTTGTGAAGTGTTTGTGGTTGAATTTTGCCTTCAATTGAAGCTTATATTGCATATAATAACATACCTAACATATGAATGTTGGGATAATTTTGTAATTAAATGATATTTTTAGGCAATTTTTCATGTGTAAGAATATTCTTAAAAAATTATTGTGTTACCATGACAACTACTTTAGATACTTCATGTTCGGACAAAAAAGGCAAGGGTTTCTGCATGCATGTATTTTTTAGTATATTCAAGGCCGTCTATCCTTGCTGTAGCGTCTTGTTTTGTTCCTTGTGTTCCGCATATTTTTTAAATATTGTGTGTAGCATTCTTTTCTTGCTAGCAGTTCACTGGCATAAAGGCATGCATCATAATCACCTACAATTTCGCTATCAACTGCTTTTAGAGTTCCAATTTCATGACTAGTATCATTTTATTCATCCGCTATAATATACCCAGGTGCCAGTTGTTCAAAGCTGGGTTAGCCTAACCCTGGGTTAATGTGAAATTCAAAACAAACTTCCCAACAGCTTCATTATAAATTTGGCAATATTTCTTTAGAGATCTTGTCTGAATGAGTAGGAGTTTTCTTCTCTGAAGTTTTGAAATAAACAGATGTGCAGAAATACAGCAACTAAAACAACAGGTTAAATTTTAACCCAGGGTTAGCACTAATCCAGCTTTGAACAACCAACCCCAGGAATATAATTGTATTCTGGGTCACATTGAGAAGCATGAGTGCTGGAAAACGTATGTCTTCCCAATAGCTTTTAATACTCCTTCATATGTGAATTCAAACTTCCATCTGTTAAGCTACTACATACAGCTGTCGCCCCAGAACCTTTCCAATTTTCAAGGTTTAGAGCAGCATATCTCGCGAATGAAAAGAGAAAACCGAAAAATGTTAAAGAAACTCCTATTAACTAACTTTTTGTCCCCAACACAAATGTCAAAAAAAATTTTGTTACATAAGCACTTTAACATCTTCCTTTTTCTGTTGTGCTGCTATTTCAAGATAATCTACATTCATCATTACCAGCATTGTTGTGTTTCTGCCGTGCTGCTGTTTCAAGATAAACCACATTAGTTATTACCAACATTGTCCTGTTTCTGCTGTGCTGCTGTTAAAAATAATCTACATTAATTATTACCATTAACATCTTCCTTTTTTTGCATGGAGGATATTGCATTGGGATAGTATTACTTTGATGGATACTATTAGCCAGACAATACCCAATATTGCAAAACACAATTTTTTGTGATATCAGTTATTTCAACAATATCAACTATTCACAACACTCAAAAGAAGGGACGGATGCATGAAAGCAGGAATTTGGTACATAATTCATTCTAATGGAGCGTGTAATCCCTGCGGGACATTGACTCCCATAAAATAGGAGCATTCACACTGCATTTACAACAAATTTGATCAAACGCCCAGGAAGATATAGCAGTAACTTTCAGTGGCGTAGCCAAGGGGGGGACCGCCCCCCCCCCCAATCGCCACCAAAACCATTCTCTGAAAATGGCAAAATCCATATAGAAATTGGGGGGGTACACTTTACATGCTCAAAGTTGAAACTGATTAAGCACATATCAACTGAGGAAAACGACAAGGAATTGGATACTGGAGGATGTTGATTTGTAAAATCTTGTTGAAGCAGTTGCAGGTTCCAAGAAAAATATCATAGCAATAAATATTCTTCTCAGACTTATTCTCTATCGTATAAAAAAGAAATGCAATTTTGAAAATGCGGAAATGGAGCATGCCCCCGGACCCCCTAGCCGAGCTCACGCCTTCGACGTTCGTTTCGCCCCCCAAATATGAAGGTCTGGCAATGCCACTGGTAACTTTGGTATCTCCACAAATTCCAAGCAAATGTTTTGGATGACCAACGCTCCTCGAGTACCCAGTCGAACCTGTGGGTGAGCCAGATGTGGCTCCTGCAATAGTGCCCAATGTACTGGTAACGGACGATCTAGCACAGCTTGAACCGGATAATTTAGAGGTATATAATGCTTTCTTTTACGCTCTTTTGCTGCTTTTTGCATGTTCAGAAATTATCGTTTTCATCTTCGTTTCTTCTGGCGTTGTTACTGGGCTTAGCGATCTATCTTGCTCTCAGATCTGCATAACGTGAAAGCTGTAAAAGAAGCCTTAGAGAAAGAAAGTAGAAGACTGAATGAATGAATGCTGTGATTAACTATATGAAAGTTTTATTCAAGCAGAGGAACGTAGGAGGGAAAGCAATGACAGCATAACTGAGGCTAGGGCTGACACAGAAAAGCTTAGAATGGAAACTTGCTGAAATATTTTGATAAAATTGGGAATCAAGAGGGATGCATGAACTGTGGCAAAAGCTTTTCGGAACTCAAAGAGAGACAACAGAAAAGGAAGATAAGGGAGCTGAAAACATATATGTTGAACGGGCGGCTCTTTGGTTTGCCGAGACATTTAGCCTGAAACTAGCTCAGTTGGATTCAAAGATAGTGGTGGGGTTTTGCACACCATTGATTACCAAGCAGAAGAGAAAAGGAACAAGTCATATAAGGATCTGTCTGAAGAAGAGAAAGAGAAGGTAAAACTGGTCCTCTGTATCACTGACAAATTCTGCTTTGGGGAGGCAGCTTACCATGAGTTGGCCATGACAGATGGTGGGGGAAAGCTACCTCGCTCGTACTTGGTGAAGCAATGCAAAAACAACTTAAACAGTCTTTGCCACACAACCAGAACTCCAGGGAAAGACGAAGAAGCACAGCTGGGCCTGGAATCTGAATTACAGAACACAAGTTTTATTTGCTTTTTAGTTATGCATCTGGCAACTCCAGCATTACTACTCCTAACCCATCCTAGGACCTTGTCAGTATGGTAGTCATAGTACAGGTAAATTTGGCATGTTATCAATTTTATCTGCTCTGTGCCAAATTGAATACTTTTTGTAAATGTACTTGATCCTTTCCAGATTGATGTACAGCAATTCAGAGAAAATAGTGTCCTGAAACTTGGAGTTTCAAGCGGCTAGTTTTATACTTTTAGCCGGTCTTCAATTTTTTCGTCGTCGTTGTTAGGGGGCAACGCTCTTTGAAAAAACCCTAAGGCTCCGTCATTACTTGTCCGATTGGAATGAAACTTGACATAATTATTCTAAGCAATATCCCGGATCGATTGACAGTGTTCGATTTTTCATTTTTGACTTTACGAGCAAGCAATTCTCGACTGTATTTGCAGCACATAATGTTTCCATATCATTAATATTCAGCAAATATATCGGCAAACGATCAGAAAGACATTGTCTTCTCTATTGTTGTAAAAACAATCACAATAGTCTAAAGGAGTAAAGCTTCTCAAGAATGTGAATTATAGCGATTAGAATAAGCGTTAACTTGACTGAATTAACACGCAGTGCCAGTGGCTTAGTTTCTCAAAGCGCAGAGGAGTAATACTGCTATTTGACTATCATACAGAATATTATTCATAGTCATAGAAAATCGCGAACCGTACAAGCAAAGACATGTCAAATTGTTTTTAGCATAAGCAAGTGTGCAGTTGTGAAGCCATGACTAAGTGAGATGCAACTGCAAAACTAACCTGGCTAACTTGTTACTTTGAATTAAGCCCTGTTTACACTACGGTAGCTGTAATATTTTGGAATGGCACGCACACACAACAAAAGTTGATGTACGGCAAAAGTTAAATTTGGGCACGGCATGTTTATTCTAAATATTGTGAATTTTATCTAGACTAATTCGAATGCGAAGAAATACTTTTGAAAACTGCGCATGTAGTTATCTAGTATGCTTTGTCCCAGACACTTTTTTGTCAGGATAAAAACCATGTGCTGATGCACAAATCCTTAATCTTGACGAATAAAGTGCTTTGATTGGTGTCACACGTGTAATGTATATATAGTCTGCCCAAACAACTAATAACAATGTTTTGTACTGTACTGAGTTGAGTAGCCTTTGTTTGGTTGTAAGTAAGAGTTATAAACCGAGTAGGAGGTTTATAACTGATATATTGCCCCTCGGACGCTTATAAACTAACTTATATCACACTTGCGGAGGTTTTCCAACATATTTTGTCATTTTCAAAAAATTTTAATGAAAAATTCTCGCGTTTTGTCTACAAGTTTAATCTAATCATTTATTCAAGGTATATAAGCTAGTTGTAAACCTCGGACGAACAAAGAAAACCGACGCAAGTGTGATATAATTCAATTTACTAACTCATCAGACCATATTCTTTTGTATTTTGTCGGTTTTTAACTGCTCCGTAATAACCTTCAATCTAAAAGCACAGTGGTATTTGATTTCTGATGCGGGGTTGAAGGTTATTATGGAAAATTAATAACCGGGTACCAGGTTATTAATTTTCCATAATAACCTGGTACCCCGGCGGTTATTACGAAAAAATAATAACCAGTTACCTGGTTTTACATTTTCAATTCAAGACCTGGCATGAGTCTTGAATTCGGGACTTGAAATTGCAGGAAAACTCTAGCCCAACATCTCCTTTTCGACTAGAAAACGCTGCACGTCTCTAAGTCGAGAAAGAGACAACAGCCGTGTGTACCTCTTCAGAGCCCGTCAAAACTCTACCATTAGGTAAGAGTATCTGTCATTCAGCGCACAAGGTCTAGCTAGATCAAGCATCAAACTTTCTTGTGCTGGGAATTTATACATTAATATCTGCTCTTTCGCTTGTGGGACGTGAAATATTATACTGCGCATGCTTAATCACATTTTAAAGCGTATTAATGCGCATGTTACACTTAGTTATTTCGTCCCACAACTACCTCTCATTGAATTGATATAGCTTGAATTTTTAATGAAGAAAACCTCCAAAGAATATGGTCTGATGAGTATATAAACAAATTAAAAGCCGCGGGTATCGGTTTTTATTAAACCGTAAAGACCTCGGGCTTTACAGTTTAATAAAAACTTCTCCCTTTGCTTTTAACCTTCATATATTTGTTTAGCTATTATTCATCTTACCAGAGCTTCCAAAATTAAACCATGCATAGTCATTCATGATGAATAAGCAATTAGTTAAATATCTCAATTGTCTACCAAAGTTTGTCTACCATGTCTTCTGTCTTCACAAATGTTAAAACAATTAACAGTTGAACCTTTAGTTACCACTCCGCAAAACATTACTCATTAGACATTAGACTAATTACATGTATTTTAAAATACAAAAGCAACATACGCACATGTAGTAAAGTACCTTGCATGTTCAAATTAAAACAAAACATTTAGCGAACTCAGTCTATGCTGCCAACACTTTGAGAATCACTGTCTATATTTTTTTATATTTATAAAATGCCTTGACGAACCAAAATTAAGGGTTTGAAGCAATTCAACAATTGTATATTGCGAATACCTACGAGGTCTGAAACGTTGGATCAACGCGGTGAACAAACCACTTCATACGAAAGCGTAGTCATAACGGGATCACATCACCAAGTACTTGACTCACTAGAATTCTGTCCACCAACCCTCCAATGGCAGCAGGAATTGTGCCAACGTTTGGCATATCGTGTTCAACCGAAAGCCGTTCGATATGTTCAACAACTAACTGGGAATGATTTTGTAATTCGTGATGTAAGAGGTGATGGCAATTGTCTATTTAGGGTGTTAGCGTTTGTGGTAACTGGTGATGAAGAACATCATATGATGATTCGCCGTGGGCTTGTGGCGTATATGCGACAACACAAAAACAATGCAAAGCATTATATAATACGGGAACCACGAGGGAACAACTTCTTGGATCGAAATTTTGAAAATCAAATGCGTGAGATGGAAAAGGACGGAACATGGGGAACACAAGCTGAAATTATAGCTGCCGCATCGATGTTTCAAACTAACATTCACATGTATCAACACAGGCAGACTAAATCGGGTGTTCTCGGTGAATGGAACACATAAAGAGCAGACATGCTTCTCCAGTGCTGTCCGAATCAACAAAAGTGTTCAAAGTACTTGAATCATACTGGAGCTCATTACAACGTTGTACTTGGCAACCAAAAGACAAAGCTTGGCCAATCAATGCCACCATTAGTTTCTGGTTCCAAGCGGCCAAGGATTGATAATAGCACTGACGTATTAACTGCGAATAATTCGGGTCTCCAATTCGAATGTGACCGCAACAATACTCCTGGAAACAAAGATCTAAAGAACTGTCATAGTTGTGGTAAATCATTCAAGAATCTCAAACTACATTTGACTAAGAAACCTGCCTGTAAAAATGTTTATGATTTTTCGAGCATAGAGGCTGAATCTGATTTACGTATTAAAACTCGGCAAACTGTATACAAAGAGAAAAATCGGTCCCAAATCAATGTGAAAAAGAAAGAGTACCGGGAGCTTAAGCATGACAAGATTACAGAGTATAACAGCGCAAATAAGAAGAAAATTAGAAAGAACCAGGAAATATACAACCGTAAAAATAAAGACAAAGTGCGATCAAGACAAGAAAAATACAACCGTGAAAATAAAGACGAGGTGCGAGCAAGACAAGAAAAATACAACCTTGAAAATAAAGGCGAGCAAGACAAGAAAAATACAACCGTGAAAATAAAGACTAGGTGCGAGCAAGACAAGAGAAATACAACCGTGAAAATAGAGACGGTGTGCGAGCAAGACAGGAAAAAAACAACTGTGAAAATAAAGACGAGGTGCGAGCAAGACAAGAAAAATACAACTGTGAAAATAAAGATGAGGTGCGAGCAAGACAAGAAAAATACAACAGTGAAAATAAAGATGAGTTGCGAGAAAAACAGAGAAAATACGACACTGAGAATAAGGAAAAAGTGCGAGAAAAACAGAAAAAACACACGACAGTGAACATAAAGAAGAGGTGCGAGAAAAGCAGAAAAATTACGACAGTAACAAGAGAGACAAAATAGATGAAAGTACACGTTTGAAAAATTTTAGAGCGGCAGTTCGCAATGGTCCAATTTTCCCATGTTTATCATGCTACAGACTACTTTATTCCAATGGAGTACGATCTGTGAGTGATAAGTTTAAAGAAAACGTGAATGCTAATGATAACTTCTACGATCGTATGGTCACAGAAATACGGGCGACTGACGGTCAAATATATCTATGTCATACATGTCACAGAAGTTTATATAAGACAAAGTGTCCATCAATGTCAACAAAAAATGGTCTGTCTATTGATGAAATACCCAGTGTGTTGAATTTATCTGAGATGGAAAGTGTATTAATAGCAAAGAACATACTATTTTTTAAATTGTTTAAGCTTCCAAAAACTAGATGGGCTGGCATACGTGATAAATTAGTAAACGTTCCGATCAATGATAATGATTTACTCAAAACGTTGTCCAACCTGACAAAACTCCCGAGAGGACCTGATAATGCCGGTCTTCTGCCTGTTAAAATTGAAAAGGAAGGTTGAGTACAAAAACTTTGTCCTCGAAGCTTATATTGATCCAACCAAACTGATCAACGCAGTCAATGTGCTGAAAGAGCTTGGTCACCTGGATATGCTAATGTGACGATAAACGAAGACTTCGCAGAACAAGTGAAAGTGACAATGGATAACCTAGCTGTTGATGATGACCTAGCCGGTGATAACCAAGCCGTTGATGACCTAGCTGTTCACGATCTCGCAGAAAATAATGACCTTGCCGATGATAACCTTGCCGTTGATAACCTAGCTGCTAATGATGACCTAGCCATTAATTACAACTTAGCCGGTGATGATGATTTAGCCGCTGATGTTAATGAAACTAGGGATCCAAGGATAATGTGAAGTTTCAAATTGAAAAAGACACTGCAAGAACTATATAGGGTTGCCGACAACCTTGAAAGGCTAATGGCTTACACTACGAAAGAAACAGTTACCAAAGGCATTTCATCTCATTGTTTATTTTATAATGCGTTCGGCACATGAGTAACACCACGTTTGAAACAAGCCTAACAGATCAGAAACGTGCCTCGTGGAACTGATACAATTTATTTATTTATTGTGATGCCACACGCGACAACTCGAAATTTAAATTGTTTCACCAACACCCAAATTTTGCATATTCTACAACTTCATTTGCATTTGCCGCTAAAAGCATCCTAACGAGGCTACTGATACGCTGAACTTATCTAATATGATTATTCACCCAAATAGCTGTATAAGATATGTTATGAATAATAAGCACTATGACGTTGTGTCATTTAAAAGAACGCATTTTATCCCCCATCCGTTCTATATTTTATCCCCATATCCGTTCCGTGGATCCGCTCCATCCGCTTCCGCATTTTAACCTAATTGTGACCACTGGTCTCAGGGGCCGATTACTTGGAGGTTTTCAGCCTGGGGCCCCTATAAATTCAATATAAAATGAATTTTACGATTACATGGAAAAAATTTCAACCCGGGCTGAATTTCAGCCCGGGTTGAAATTTTCATCCCGGTTTATGTCACCCGGGCTGAGATTTTCAGCCCTGTCAACCGGGATGAAATATCCCATGTAATCGCAAATAATTTCAGCCCGGGCTGAAAAAACAATCGTTTAACTCATTAACTGGCAATGCGCCCTGAGATTGGCAAGTGGGTAACTGGCAATGCGCCCGCATACGCCCTCAAATGACACCTCAACTTGTGGGCATGATATTTGAGCATGTGTTTATCGGGTTGCCTAGCAACGGATACGAAAATAGAACGCGAAATTCGAGCTTTTCAACGGTGTATCATGCAAGAAAATCGGCCAAAAACTCGCAAAGTTTTTCAAGTTTAAAACCTTAGTTTTTCAAAAATAATGAATAATGGAGATATTGTTGCAAGGTAGGATTTTACAGCAAGTTTTAAAAGTGAAAAAAGAAGAGGTTTTTGGATGATCTACAACGAAAATTTGGCATGAAAGGAAAGCGAATGTATTGACGTTTTGGGCCAAGTTCTTCTGTGAACCATGCGCAAGATTTTCAGCCAAAAAGATGAGGATTTCTCCAAACTTTATTAAAAATAGAAGTCGGAAATCACAAGAAAGATGAACACGGAACTCAAGTGAGCAGATACGATTTTTAAAGGGTATTTTTGAGTAGAAATATGCGATCAAACACTCACAAAATTCGACCGCATTAATGTTGGTTGAATCTAGTTTAAAGTTATCTTTTTAGACAAACTGTTTATGCAAATTTGGGCACAATTTCGACTGTTTTCGTGACCCCATTGTTGGTCTTCTTGTTCAAGTTGTTATTTTAGCTAAAGTATGTTTCAAACGACACCAGATTAAATTACTGTGTGCGTACGTGCCCTATTTGGCAAGAATACTTCGAGTATTAAATTACACTAAATAAGTAGGATATTCCAAAATCACTGTTATATCTATTTTCATCAATTTAGTCTTAAAATGACAACTCGTTTCAGACATATTGTGGTTTGAAATAAGTGTATTGAATTAATGCGCTGGCTTGCCGTGTGCGAATTCTCAAAAAGTCCGCACTTGAGTTCTAAAGCTTTTAAAATGCTTTTTGTATTGGGTTTTATATCCCCATAAAACTTTAAATCGATAAGGCAGATAGTAATGTTGATCAAACCTCATTTTGTAGTAACTACATGTTGAATCAGAAGGATAAGTTATCAAAATAGGTCGTGACGGTTGTTTGCCGTTGTTGTCGCTTCTCTCTGAAATGGCTTCCTTTGCGGGAAGCC